TATTGCCGGGCCATAATAACGAAAAAGTGCGATAACGAAAAACGTGTGCCTATTTCTAATAAGTTATTTTCTCTTATACGTTGTGTAGTCAGAATGCATATCTTGTGGGTTCTTGATACTCGTAAACGCGAAATCGTAAGAATTTCATCTCAAGAAACTCCTACTGAGGAAGCGACTAGTGGTGATAAGACAACACGTACTTTCTCGCCCGTATGTTGACGCAAAATTACGCGAATAGTACTCAAATTTTCGAAAAGTATACATGACCTTATTTCAAAATCTATCTTTAATAAACAGATTTCGTTAAGGGGAAATCTCTATCTTTAATATTTTAGTTGTAGTAAGACTCCAAAAAGTTTTTGAACTTTTCGAATATCCCAAAAATCTGGATTTTTAACGAAAATAGACCCGCATCATTCTCTTAAAGTTCTTCACACTATCCAACAACACAATTTAATCAGAAACGATGGGACTTTTTTTTAACATGGAAAATGTCCCAGGGGATTTATGTAAAGTAACCCCAAAAATAAATTATCGATTTCAAATTTTGGAAAATACAGCTGAACGGATTAGTCGCTGCTGCTGTTGAGACGGACGGACAGACACACGATTTGCCGTCACTCGATTTTTCGGTATCAAGAACGCACAAAACATGGATTGGGGGTACATCACGTGTTAGAGAATTTTTTTCTAAATTTAGTAACAGGATTTATCCACTTCTTCGTCACCAGAGCCCTGTAATAAGAGTTTTTCCTCCGAAAATTCACCATTTTCCGCGCAGATTTACATAACTTCCTCTTCTCCGTAGCGAGAATATAAAAATTAAATGTCGGTGCCAAACTACTTATTTTTTAGCATCCTGTATAATGTCATTTTGTAACATTCTGATCTGAATTTACAGAGATGAACGGTGGGCAAAGCTCTCTAAAGAAGAGAAAGAAATTATGGAATACAATCCACAGGAGAATGGGGAGTTCTGGATGGACATAGAAGATTTCAAAAATAACTTTCACGACGTTGTAATAGGTACACAGAAACCCAGAGGTGCAGAAGAAATGAAATTGGTAAGTGATTATGGCTGACAATTCCAGAAGCAAACCATTAACCTTGGCTTGTTTCTATATGGAGAATGTTTGTGCTGCAGGTCGGGCAGATTACAGGATGTTGGAGCAAAGATGAAGAAGTCGGGGGAAACCACACAGACATGGAGAAATTTGCCAAAAATCCTCAGTTTTCTCTCGTCCCTTTAGGAAGTGATGAAGCTGGTAAGATCATGTCATCTCTCCCCGACGTTTCTCTGGAGAAAGGGGAAAGGGGCAATAATATGAAATTTATTGATTATTATTTCTTACGCAGAATATTAGTTAAAAGCAGGGCCGTAATTAGAGAATAACTAATAAAGAACAATCCTTTAAAAGCGATCTAAAAGAAATAAAAATAACTTAATCACTAAATGCAATATTCATTTAAAATTCCATAACACAACGCCACAACAAAAATTAAAACAAATGCAAATCGAAATTAATGTGTACATTTTAAATAAAACAACTTCATTTGGACTTAAATTTGCTTTCGGTATTTTTAATTTTGACAAATTCGATAAGTAAAGGGATGCCACAATACCAAGATGGAAAGTACAAGAACACTACAGGATTGCAAGTTGAATTTAATTTTTTTAGTGTATTATTATAAAGAAAAAAGTTACCATGTATAATCCTCAAAGCTGGTGTAATGATAAAATTTATTCAATTCTATGGTATTATTTATGATAATTATGTTCATTTTAACAATTTTTGAAATTCAGTATATTTTTTGTCATTAACTTTGCTGCATTAGAGAAAAGTATTATAACTTAAAGCGACGAAGTTAATACACTAATTATTATATAATTTATTATTTAAGTACAATATTGAAATAAACACATCGAACAAATTTTGTTATTGACATTAGTGGTAAGAAAATGTTTTTAATTTATAATGTAATTTTAATAAATATCAATAGATTAAGATTATCTCTTACAAATTAGGTTTTACTTTCCAATATACTTTACAAGTATATTTTTGCATATATTTTACAGAAATTAAAAAAATACCATCAAAAAAGCATGCTTGGTAATTGATTTCGAAAAAACTGTTTTATAGAAATGTAGGAAATTTGTATCCTCTTTAAAATTAAATTATTTTTCTACAGGACTTAAGGTTAAAGAGATTTAGTGAAAAATGATGGAAAAAGTATTATTTTGAGTATTCGAAAACTGCACAAATAGTTTTTTTTTAAATAATGTTCACGTCTTGCGATCTCGCTCTGAATGTACTGAATAAAGTAACAGAACCATTTTGAATTTTTGCTTGTGATTCGTTTTAATTTTACAAATGAATTTATTTTTAAAATATCTCTCAGTTTGTTGATATTTACAATATGACTATTGTATGGCAAATTATTGCATTGGTAGCCATATTTGGCAGTGCACCTAATGATTTAGAAGGGCATCATTTGAACGTGCGTGAGCATCAAATGATTTCTTATGAAGTTCGTAGAAAAATCAAAACTTCTGTGTGAAATGGACTCAAATTTCCGCATTTTGAGAAAACTTCAAACGATATATTTTCAAGAACAACTCCACATTTTTCAATGAAAATTGGCATGTGAAACTGTTTTACAATTCTGTAATATTTTAAAAGACATATTTCAATTATATATTGGTAGTTCGAAAAATTGAGAATGTCACCAAATTTCATTTTAGCGCCGATATGTTTTATCTTTGAACAGTGTGGATCAGTATCACAAAGCTAGCGTAGGCTAAAAATATTAGAAAACTAACTAGTTCCAAAACGTGTGCCATTACGTAATACCACTAGTTATTTAAATATTCTCTCTCACACTCATACTTACTCTCTCACTCACACACTCACACTCTCATGCTCTCACACTTTCACGCTCTCACATTCTCGCACTCTCACACACTCTTACTCTCTCACACACACTCTCTCACACACACTCTCTCACACACTCTCTCTCTCAACCACACACACACTCTCACCCACACTCTCTCTCTCACACACACTCTCTCTCACACACACTCTCTCACAAACACTGTCTCACACACACTCTCTCACACACACTCTCTCACTCTCTCTCTCATCTGTACGTATATGAGAAAGTAAAAATATGATATAACTTGTAGCCAGCAATGCGCATACTATTATCAATAGGCAAAAAAGACAATTCTGTAACGTATAATCTACATTCCATCAAACTCATCACACCTTAAAAAGTGCGTTGTGTTCTTATACTAAAACTATTTATCAGGGTCTGGCCATGATGAGATTCCTATGGAGGGCATGGACGTGATTGTCGAGTTGGTGAGAGGCCACCGGCGCCTGAAATCCAGCGAAGGGCCGAACATTGCTTTCTACGTTTTTGAGGTATGTTTCTATAGAATCTCAATCTTTTAACTAGAATATTTTAGAAGTATGAAACAAATTGTTATCACATTTTTGCTTTTGAATGACTTTTTTATCTCTCCAACTATTTATTGCAAATACAAAACTATATACCTAATAAAACGTGTGGGGCCGAAGACCTTGAAGTCATTAGAACACTTTAATCGAACCACATTCCATCAGTTAACCTGGGAAAGGTGGCTCAGGACATCAACATATATCACTGCAGAGATTCTCATCGGGAAGACCCGGAGTTCGATTTGAGATGGTTGCAGGATGTTCGACTCAACATTGTCAGCTTGGTCGAATTCAGCCGCCGTCTGGAAGATAATTTTTAGTTTCCGGCACCTCTGATCGGTAATTTTTCGTGTTTTCCCGTTCAGCATCGGGCGAATGCCGGAGCAATTCCCTAACAAACGGGCCAGGGGTCCGCGCGTGAACTTTCCTTCCTCACCCATTATTTGCCGGCCCTTGCACCACCAAAAATGTCGGAGAACCTTTGGGGAGGTTCGAGCTTGAGCCGGCTGGGGCGTTGGCCGGCTGGTGGGAGATACCTGGTTGAGGGAAACCCCGTTAGCCAACGGTATGTCGGCGCCGGATTTCACCATCCAGTGGAAGATCATTTCTATCCAGGAAAGCACATGCACTACACTTATGGAAGTAATAACCTTACCAGTTGACATGTCTGGGATTATCAACGTAACAGTTCGAATCCTGGTTTTCACCTCAAATTGGTCTTTTCTACGCATTAGGGCCGCGAAAAAGAGATCATATGGTACGTCTGAGAAAAGAATCCTTTAAATGCTAAACCTTCCGTCGGAAGAAAATTCAACATCGTATTGTTGAGGTGAATCCAATACCATTTTTCATCCCTACTGTAAAATACCAGAGAGCTGGCTCAGCCTATGTGTCGTTGCCTGGATTGCGCAGCCGCGGTTGCGCTGTCTGAGTGGTTCAGCCGTGTCGTGCTACCTAGATTGCCCTGCCAGGGTTGCGCTGCCTGGGTGGCTCAGCCCGCGTGGCGTTTCCTGGGTTGCGCCGTAGGGGTTTCACTGCCTGGGTAGATCGGTCCGAGTGCTGCTGCCTGGCGACGCCAGCGGCGCCTGAGCGGCTTGTGAGCACGCGCGGGGTTGTGTGTGTGCGCAGGGGAGCGGCGAGCAGCGCCTGTCGGCGGAGCAGCTGCGCGCCCTGGAGCGCGTGGAGGGCTCGACGAAGCTGATGCGCGAGGTGGCGGTGAGCGCGCGCCTTCGCCTGCGGCCTGGCCGGCGCTACGTCGTCATCCCGGCCACGGAGCGCGCGGGCCAGGAGGGCCACTTCCTGCTGCGCGTCTTCTCCCGCTGCGCGCGCGTGCGCCTCTCCCAGCTGCCGCCCGCGCCTACGCCCGCCCCACAACCAACAACCGCGACGTGAACAACGCCACTTCTCTCTCAATACACACACACACACACACATATGCGTTTCTCTTAAGCGCTTCTCCTATTCTTCCTCATTCTGCTGCTCTCTCTCTCGCTCTCTCTCTCTCTGTATATATATATATATATATATATATATATATATATATATATATATATATATATCTTACGCACACTTACAAATAAAAATGTACGCTCATCGTGTCATAAAATGATGTATTGATGTATGACAGACGTCATAGAATTGATTTCGTGTTATATTTCTTTAGTAATAATTGATTCAACATAATTTTGTAGACATTGAATTAATGTTTTCGTCCGTGTATTTTCAAACTATTTGAATATTAACCTTTGAGCGAAATTAAAGTTCTAATGGTGAAAAATAAAATGTATTGTATTAATGTAATGTAATTTTTCCTTTAAACAATATAGGTAATTATTAAAGAAAACTATTGTAAACTCTTTATATCTATTTACTTTTATATTCCAAGACTAAAGTAAGTATCCTGCATAGCTATTATTAGTGGCCAGTGATTCTTATTTCTCACTAGTGTAGCCGGCAAATGCTTCGCTATTGCAAAGTATTACACTTCACACGCTACAGGTCACGTGATTCTTAATCTCGTTTTGCGCTACGCTGCGCAAAAAAATTAATACATGAAAGACTTTCTCGCGAGTATGAGTTTGTTCAATGTCCTGCTTTGGACATGGTTGTCAAGTTTTCTATTGTTAAAACGTTCTGCCTCAAGTTTGGGCATTTATGACACTGTCTATAGCAAATTTATTTACTTGCCCGAGATAAATATCAAATAATAATTCCAATATCACAATAGCAGGTGAAGAAAATGCAGCTTAATACTTCAGGATTCATCTGATGTATGGCGCTTGAGTCATCATAAACGCATAAAATAATCATCAACGGGCGCCTGTGTGCAACAGAAAGCAAACGTTTTCAGTTTCATTAAAAGGAGAGCAACTTCTACAGCTGCCGGGAAGAAAAGGTGGGAAAGAGGAGGGCCATGAAAATTTCCGCTGGTCGAGTGCACTCTTTTATACGCCCCAGACTGGCAGATCTTCGGCGTCATTCGGATGTATTTAATTTTTCTATTGCGCAGACAACTTAATTCCTGCCATCTTTCCATAATATATTATTCCATACATCATAATTCGAATAATTATATTTTTTATTTAACTGCTTCAGTTGTTTTAGAATTCCTTTATTTAGCTTTTCTTCGTGGCGTGATAATCAGCCAAATCTTCATTTTAACAATTCAATTCAATTAATTCAGAATGTATATTAAAAATACTATAGTTCGTTATTTCCTAACATTTTATGAGAGCCTTTTGTTAAGTGTTAAGTTAAATATTTTTATTTACCAAAAAAAGTTGTTCTTAACCTGAATTAAGTGGTTGAAATAAATTACATTAATAAATATTTATGAATATAAGTAACTCTTTCTTAGAGTTTTGTGCGATGATACAAGAATTTCTGTAATGACAAATGCTTTTAAGGAATGTGGCGTTCAATTTATTTATTTGTTATTTAATACATTCATCTGATGTCTATTATTTCCATCATATGTTGCCGTTTGGTGCACCTTTAATATTGCCTTGTGCTCGCTCAGCTACAAACACTAAATACTGGCAATGGACCTCGTTCGCAAAGTTGTTCATTCCCAAAATAATCGCTATGTTTAAAAAATGATTTTATTTACAGAGGCAAAAAATATTCAAAGCATGTATTACTATATAGCCAGTACCATTACACAATACTGAGGCCCAATTCGTGTATCCGATTTGACCGTCCGCTTTCCTGAGCATCGACATAGATGGCATGGATAAAACCAATTGATAAAGGTAATGTGGCATTATGAAGGTATGAAGTTTTACAAACTTCTGAGTGGGCTTCTGAAGCCTCGACATTGCTTCCATCAAATTCGGTATGGATGCTTTAGATGGGAAGCCGTTCCAGATAGAGTAGTTCACTCCCAGGTATGTTAGTGTATGATCTTTACTGACCAGAGGAATTCTCTCCCCCAACCTTTCCTGACAGGGGTCCTCTATGAACCAGGAACGTTCAATAATTGTAATTTGAAATGATGAACATTTCGCGACGGACAATGTCATTCTAAGAGCCCCAAAATATTCCACCACAATATCAACCAATTATTGAGCTCCTGAGTTGAATTGAACTCCTTTTGCAAACAGCACCAGATCGTCAGCAAATGCTAACACGGACTAACTCCTTCCCAATAGTGTGTATCCTGACATGCTTTCCAGTTTCTCAAGCAGGCACTCCATGATGAGATTAAAAAGGAGTCGGGCCAAGGGATCCCCCTGTTTTAATCCTCTACGAATTGGCACCTCAATTCCTTTCGAGGGGTGCTGAATGGCGGTGGAAACATCGGCGTAAAAGTCCATTACCAAATTGGTAAGGGCGTCAGGAATCCCTTTCCTGGACTGAGTCCCCCAATCTCCGCGTGAAGAACAGTGTCATATGTTTTGGATATATCTAGCATAGTACCTACACCGCCCTCTGCTTTTTTCATGATACAGACTGCTTCATGAAGAATTTGAATGTTCACGAAATAGCCAGGTTCAGGGATAAACCCTTTCTGTCGTGGATTAAACTTCACCATGGATCGAATGCGTTTGTCCATAATGGCCCAAAATATTCTGCACAGCAGAGAACTTATTGTGATGGGGCGATAGGGAGTGACAACTGTATTATCCTTACCTTCTTTTGGTATAAAGATGGTGCGATTAGCTTTCCACACAGAAGACACAAAGCCACTGTATAAAGTTTGGGTGTACAATAAGGACAATATTTCAATTTTTGCTCCTGAGGATATGTGACTTATCTGGTCCTGGACCCGCGGCATTTTTCATCCCAGCCAGACGAATTTTAATTTCGGCAACTTGGACCGCGTATAGAATTGTGTCTGGGTCCACTTCAAACGTCAACAATTTATCACCCTCTCTTAATTCGGAAAGCCGAATCAGGGGCGTGTTACCCAGATGGACTTGTACAGGTCATTAACCTCATCCCTGTTAAGGCTCTGTTTATCGACACTATTACAGTCAATGTCCGTTCTAATGCACTTTGCTGAATCGTTCGTGAAAAGGTCCTATGCCCTAGCTTAAGAGTAGCGCATCCTAGCGCGTTTGCCTGCATGTCTACTATGTTAGAGGATGTAAATTACTGTAAATGGGAACAAGATTAATCCACGTTTTCGATACCAGAACCCGACAATAAGTTTTCTGTCGAAATTGTGCCTTTTCTGCCCCACGATTACAATACTTTCTCTTCTTACGAAATTAGGACGAGAAAGTAAATAGAAGGCTAGGCTTTATTTACTTCGCACGAGTAAGAACGCCCCAACTGATTTCTCCAATATTGGAATAATTTCAATATTTTATTCACAATGTTTGTTTTCAAACAAAATACAGTAAAAGTGGAGCTCCTACGCGAGATGGATAGAGCTATTCTCCCTTTCTGGCCAGAACGCCAAAAAGTCACAGATTTTGAGCATGCGCTTAATCTTTTTCAGAGAATTAAAGTCAATGTATCAATATATGTATTTTGTATAAACTTTTGTCAACTTCAATTATGTAAACAGTGGCTGTTGAAACTCATAGTTTGGGAGGTATAAGCTAGAAACCTAACAATGTGCGAAATTTTCTAGAGCATTTTACATTTTTTTCCGCAAAGCCGACCATTTTTGAGGTGGGAGACATAACATTCGAATTCAGCACCCCCCAAAAATACATAGAACAATTGCTAAAACAACTCCCGAAATTTTTTCCAGTGTTATATGTATAGTGCCTACAAGTAAATTGAGAGTATTGCAACGCAGCGATCTTTCCACTTACGGAGAAATCCACATATACGTAGAATAGGCAAGTTATGTAATGCTGCGCGAAAAAAACGGCTGATTTTCGACAGAAAAAAATCATTTCTTGGACCTGATAACAAAATCGTGGATAAATACAATTGCTAAATTAAGAAGAAAGTCGTCTATTATGTGGTGTTGCCAGAATCCCTGTATCCCCGCTCCTTGATACCGAAAAATCAATTGACAGCAAAACGTTTGTCTCTCTGTCCCTCTGATGTCTGTGAACATTTCTAGCACCTAAACCATGCATAGGATTTTTTCCAAATTGACGAAACCCCTGCCCATCTTGATTGAGTCGAAACTTTAATATTTTGAAAAACATTCTTCAAAATTTGGGGGTACTTAACATGAAGCCCTCCGGACATTTTCAAAATTTTCTCGAAAAGAGCTTCAATTTTTTTCTTAAAATTTATTATTATAGAAGATTAGCATACTGTTATAAAAGTGGCATATATCATATTTTCACAGGTAACTCTGAATTTTCAAACATTTCAATAGTATGTCTTTTATTCGGCGTCTTCCTGCAACTACAAAATTGAAGCGGAGGTTTTTCCTTCAAATTATATTTGTTCTCTATAGTGAGGTCTTTCATTATGGCCATGCATACTTTTTTGAAACTTTTAGTAATTTTCGCGCAATAATGAGTGCATTATTTTCAATTTTAAAAAATTACAAAAACAAGATTTTCTTGAAAACGGCTCCAAATTTGTTCTTTAAACTTTAGCTAGGGATAGTGCGAACAGTACTCTGTAAGATGACATACTCGCCATATTGCTCTATTCTTTTTTAATTATAAAATTGTAATTTTTTACTTGTTTCTCATTTTGTTAACATTTATAATAGCGGCAATTTGTTCACATTATTGTATTTATGAGTACAAGTGATTTAAATAATGTCATATAAAGTTTCTCGAAAACACTACCGTTTTCTGTGAAAACTGGCTCAAAACTCCGCATTTTCAGAAACGCTCAGACGCAATTTTCTCGAAAACGGCTCCAAATTTTTCTTCATATTTTAAAACGGCTCTAAATTTTTTAAAGAAAATTGCTATTTATTATGAGGTTTTACTGTTCTTTAATAATCTTAAAAAACTATTTCCGCTCCACAATTAGGAAACCGAAATATTAAGAAAGTGTCAAAAAATGTACTTTAGGCGGCGATAGATGGCAGCAGGCAAGAATATGTGGCAAGTTCAAAAAGCTAACCGAGACCATAGGAAATAAAAAGCTGATACGGGATAGTCAGTGTCATCCTGAAGCACCACTAGTTTTAATTTAATTTTTTGCTTGAAAGAGAAAGGAACGCATATAAAATAATGACTCAGGTTGGTAAAGTCT